TAAATCACACAACGTTACGTTTCCTAAAAATTTAGTCCAATAATATCTATGCTTTAGATTCTAAATTTTGTAGATTAAAATTCTGAAAGTTACAGGAAAGTGTTGCAATCTTTATTCCTTATGTTTAGACAGTTGACAAGATAGGAAACCTAATAAAATGAAAAGGTTAAAAGTTATTTACAATTTTGACAGTTGACAAGCGCGGCCTTCTCCGTTTTATGCTAATAATTTAGCCCCGGTGTATCCCCCGTGTCGAACGGTTTTATATTAATAAATATAAAATTTTCTACAGTCGGGCCACGCGTCCGTATTAAACGCATATGTCCTTTTATTCGATTTTTATTTACGCTTGATATTATTTCGTACGGTTCCATCCCATTGTTCACACCCCTTCTATCCGTTTCGTATTTAATGAAAAGGCCGATCGGTCACAGTCGCTCTATATAAAAAAAAAATAATAACAATAAAAATTCAAAATCAGATAAACAGAATACTCGGCGGAAATAATGGTTAAAGCAGGAGATGGTCGGTGATGCATGCCGAAATCTTTGCTTTGAAGAGTCAAAGTCTCATTATCGTGTCCATAACATGCAAAGGGCTGTCCAAAACATACGCTATTAATAGCAATTACCCCAAGGCGGCGTTTAAATACCCCATTACGGGTCACCCCCGTTAGACATGTAAGTGACATTTATGTATGACTGGAGAACCAACCCCGTCTGGAAGTGGATGGATGGGGCGCTACTCTTACCAAACGATCAAAGAAAACCGATTCAATTTACTGAAAAAACAAACGAGAAAATTGGATTTATGAGATGGTGTGGACTAGAAAAACGGTAAAATTGGGTTTTTATTAGAATCTAAAAAGATTCGAGACTCTAAACCTTCGAATTTCAAAATTCTAGATTTTGATTTTAGTCTACATTTTTAAAATTTAGAGCACTGAATTTTCTAAAGATTATGAATTCTCAAAATGCTCTAAAATCTGGAATTTTAAAGAATAGATTCGAGACTCTAGATTTTGATTTTACATTGTTCTAAAGTTCTAAAGCTTTAAAATTTATCAAAGTCTGGAGCACTAAAATAGAAATATATTTTCCAGTTTATGGGATTTCTAGAAGAAATTTTTTTAAATCTTTAGAATTGAGTATTTTAGAATTCTAAACTCGAAACGTAAAGTTTTAAAATTCTGAAACGTTAAATAATGTTAAAATCTTTCAAGTTCTTAATTTTAAATCTTGAATTTAGAATGTTCGCAGAATTTTGAAGAGAATCTTAAATGTAATGTATACAAGGTGATTCTTTTAGGACCTATATAGAATTAGAAACTTTTTAACTTCTAATGCAGATAGAAATTTGAAATTTTGTACACAACCCAAATCAACCAGTCTGAGTTCAACTAAATTATTTTCAAAATGGCTGAACTTCCGGAACTACGAGAAATTGGCGTCAACTTTGAAATTTTAAATGGTAACCAATTATTTTTATTGCATTTTTGAATTCTCCTCTTCAAACTGAGTAAAATGTACCTAGTTATTAGTACTTATAGTTTTTGACATATGTCAATTTTTTGCTCAAAATTTTCATTTGCAGAGGTTTATTAAAAACATCACAGCTCTTGAACCGTTTGCAATAAGTAAATAATTTTTCTTGCATTTGATAACCAAAGGTTCGAAGAGTTGCCTAAAATTTTCAAAATTGTCAACTGTCAAATTGCAAAGCTTATATGATTTTTTGAAAATGATATTTAACAAACAGCTATAACTCAGTTTTTTCAAATAAAATGACCCCATTTTCTCAACGGCAATCGAAGGTACATCGAATTGTAGAAGGACTTTTATCAACATGTCCTATATTCATCTCTTACAGTTTCTGAAATAATCACGAAAAACGTGTTTTTGTTTTTTATTTTTATAGTAAATCACGTAGGCTTTGGAAAATGATCAAGACGAACTAAAGATTTATTAGTCTACACAACACCCATCCGGAATTATGAAGAATTGAGGCAAGGATTGAGGCGGCATTTAATAATCTTCAAACAAATGAACTAATGGAAGTTACTCAAATCAGTTCACCATCGAGTTTTGGACTGTTTGAAAATGGTAAACATATCGAACATTTGCATTAATTATGGTATATCTTATTGTATTCTTCCAAAGCCTGCGTGATTAACTATAAAAATAAAAACATTAACATGTTTTTTGTGATTATTTCAAAAACTGTAAGAGATAGGTATAGGACATGTTGATAAAAGTCCTTCTACAAATTGATGTAGTTTTGATTGCCGTTGAAAAAATAGAGTCATTTCATTTGAAAAAACTGAGTTAAAGCTGTTTGTTAATGATCATTTTCAAAAAATCATACTAGCCTTGCAATTTGACAGTCGACAATTTTGAAAATTCTAGAAAATTTTTCGAACTTTTGGTTTTCGAATGCAACAAAAAATATTCACTTATCGCAAAGGGTTCAAGAGCTGTGATGTTTTGAATGAACCCCTGCAAGTGAAAATTTTGACCAAAAAATTGACATATGTCAAAAACTATGATAGATAAGTACTAACAACTAGGTACATTTTACTTAGTTTAAAGAGGAGAATTCAAAAATGCAATAAAAATAAGTGGGTACCATTTAAAATTTCAAAGTTGGCGCCAATTTCTCGTAGTTCCGGAAGTTCAGCCATTTTGAAAATAATTTAGTTAAACTCAGACTGGTTGATTTGGGTTGTGTACAAGATTTCAAATTCCTATCTGCATTAGAAGTTAAAAAGTTTCTAATGTAGGCCCTAAAAAAATCACCTTGTATAGTATCTTTGGAGTCTAAAGTCTTTCTTGAATTTTGAACTGAGTATGGCTTTAGCATAAAAATTTTTACTTAGAAAAATTTTATTAACTGGTAATTTTCAGTATTTAGAATTGAAAATATTAGAATTCTAAAGCTTAAAAAGTCTAGAAAACCCAAAATTCTAAAACGTTAAACCATGTTAAAATCTTTCAACTTCTCAAATTTAAGTCTTGAATTTAGAATGTTCGTAGAATCTTGCAGATCTTGACAAGTTAGGTCTAGAAGTCTATAGAGATTTAATGAAATCTTGGATTTAGAAAACAAAATCCTGAATGCAACGTTTAGAATCTTAGAGTTCCTAAAATCAAGTCAAATGTCTTTCAATTAGAAATTCTAAAGCTCAAATTTTAAATCTTGAATTTAGAATGTTCGCAGAATTTTGCGGATCTTGACGCGTTAGGTCTTTAGACATTTAACTAAATCTTAGAATTCTAATATTTAGAAAACTACAGAATCTTAAATGTAAAATTTAGAATCTTTAGTGTTTAAAGTATTTTGAAATTCTAGATCTTGAATTGAGTATGTCCCTAGCATAAAATTTTACGATTTTAGAAAAATTTTGTTAACTGTTAATTTTTAGTATTTAGAATTGGAAACATTAGAATTCTGAAGCTTTAAAAAAGTGTAAAAAACCTAAAATTCTAAAACTTTAAGCAATGTTAAAATCTTTCAAGTTTCTAAATTTTAATTTTCTTGAATTTAAAATGTTCGTGAATCTTGCAGATCTTGACGAGTTAGATCTAGAAGTCTTTAGACATTTGATTAAATCTTAGAATCATAGATTTAGAAAAGAGAATCTTGAATGTAAAGTATAAAATCGTAGAAATCCTAAAATCAAGAATATTGTCTTCCAATTTCTAAATTTTAAAATTCTAGATCTTGAATTTAGAATGTCCGTAGTATTATTATTATTAATCTTAGTATACTAAGATTTTTAGAATCTTAGTAGATTTTTTATAACAATTAAATTTCAATCCTTAGAACTAAAAATTTTAGAATTCTAAAGCTTAAAATGTCTTAAAATTCTAAAATTTTAAAACGGTAAACAATGTTAAAATCTTTCAATTTCTAAATTGTAAATTTAGAATATTCGTAAAATCTTGCAGATCTTGACAAGTTAGGTGAGAAGTCTCTAGACATTTAATTAAATCTTGGAGTCTTAGATTTAGAAAACAAAATCTTGAATGTAAAGTTTAGAATCTTAGAGATCATGTCAAATGTTTTTCAATTGAGAATTTTAAAGCTCAAATTTTAAATGTTTGGAGTCAAAGTTTAAAGACATTTAATTTAACCTTGCAATTTTACTAAACTTTAACTTTAATCTTAAAACTGTATAGAACCCTAGAATTCTAGAATCTTAAAATTTTAAGAAACTTTATTGGATTTAGATTGTATTTAGCATAAAAATCTTGATCAGTCTTAAAATCTTTAGACATTTCGAGGTTCTAGCAACAAAAGTTGGTAACATTGAAAAACATATAGAGACAAGAAGTGTGTAATATGACAATTTTTTTATCTTCTTCAGTGTTGCAAACTTAATTTGAGAATCCTAGGCCACTTTGGTAGAAATGATATAACTGTAATAATTTTTAATGTTAGAAGTTGGCAGTGTTGTTGCATTTCGTTTTATTAGGTTTGCGAGACCGTCTCGTCGATATCTGATTAGGACGTGAGTGTGCACCCTCCTTGGGGGAGGATTATATATTTGTTAGTGAATGTCCGAACACAAGTGTGTTTGACGGTGTGATTTTTCACTTTGATATTTTGACAGGGGTGTAAACTGACCAAACCGAAAATCCCTCCGGCTTAATTATCTCGCCGGAAAGATCCGTCTTACGGCGGAAAAGCGCTTTAAAAATTTAATTATCCCGAGTGCGGCAAGTGGAAATGCGCCTTTCAAATCCAATTAACTCAAAAATACGCCGGGAATTGATCCACCCCGCGACCTAATGTGTTTAATTCAACCCCGAAAAATACACACTTTTTTCGGGGCTATTTTTCGACTATCGAAGGTGGTAAAATATGCACATAATTACTCAATTTTCAATAGAACGCGCCAAATATTTCATTGTAGCGTTAGGGTCGGACGGAAAAATTGCGACGATTCATCATTTTTTTGCCACGCCCATGAGTGTGTGGAATAGAAAAAATAAAACGAGTTTTTGTTGCTTTTTGTTATTTTATTGTCGTGAGGTGCGTCAGCAGACGTTGCCGCAGTAGCCGTAACTGCTGATCCCGAAGTAGTTGTTATAGCATTCTGGAACAAATAAACGAGTTACATACAAAATTTTTCTAAGACTTTTTTTTCTCAATTTAAAATAATTAACTAGCTGTTAATAATAATTAATAATTATATCAAGATAGTTTAGAAATGTGACAATTTTTAAGTCTTACCTATATCACCTTTAGAATCACGTTTAAAATTCAACCAAACTTTAGAAATCCATTGATTTTTAAATTTTGGAGAATTAAAAACCTTGAAATTCTAGATTTTTTGAGTTTTGACATTTTTTTGGCTTTTTGTTTTTTACCACTACAATTTTAGTTATTTTTCTTATTTTTTTCGATTTACGTCTGTAAGAAAACGAGTTACATACTAAAATTTTTCTAATATTTTTTTGTCTCAATTTATAAATAATTAACTACATAAAAACAAATCACAAAGTCCTAAAATTAGTTTTTTTCAGTCATCATCATCATGATATTTTAGAAATGTGACCATTTTTTCAAAACTGAAATTTTGTCAAAACATACAAATTTGTCAAATTTTAAGTCTTTATCTTTAGAAAATTCAACCAAATTTTAGAAATCCGTAGATTTTTCAATTTTAGAGAATTAAAATCCTTGAAATATTAGGTTTTTTTCAGTTTTGACATTTTTTTCGCTTTTTGTTTTTACCAGTACATTTTTAGTTATTTTTCTTATTTTTTTCGACTTAAGTTTGTAATAAAACGAGTTACATACTAACATTTGTCTAATACATTTTTTTGTCTCAATTTACAAATAATTAACTCAAAAAAACAAATCACAAAGTCCCAAAATTAGTTTTTTTTACAGCCGCATTGACTAGATTATCATAATCATCATCATCAAGATATCTTAGAAATGTGACAATTTTTTCAAATCTTTGACATTTTGTCAAAAGAAACAAATTTGACGAATTTTAAGGATTTACCTTTATAACTTTTAGAATCACTTAAGGTTTTCGAAAATTCAACCAAACTTTAGAAATCCTTAAATTTCTAAATTTTAAAGAAACAAAAACCTTGAAATTGTAAATTTTTTGAATTTTGACATTAATTGGCTTCTTGTATTTTTTACAGTACAATTTTAGTTACTTTTCTTATTTTTTTTTACTTACATTTTACATACTAAAATTTTTCTAATACATGTTTTTGTCTCAATTTATAAATAATTAACTAAAAAAACAAATCACAAAGTAACAAAATTAGTTTTTTTACAGCCGCATTGATTGGATCATCATAGTCATATTTTAGAAATGTGCCAAATTTTTCAAAACTTTGAAATTTTAGGTCTTTACCTTTATAACTTTTAGAATCACTTGAGATTTTATAAAATCCAACACAAGACTTTAGAAATCCTTAGATTTTTAAATTTTGGAGTTAATTAAAAATCTTGAAATTTTAGAGTTCTTCAGTTTTGACACTTTTTTCCCTTGTTGTTTTTTATCAGTACATTTTTAGTTATTTGTCTTATTTTTTTCTACTTACGTTTACAATAAAAGGAGTTACATAATAATTTTTTTTAATATATTTTTTTTGTATCAATTTACAAATACTTAACTGAAAAAAACAAATCACAAAGTCCCAAAATTAATCTTTTTAACAGCCGCATTGATTGGATTATCATAATTATCATCATCATCATCAAAACATTTTAGAAATGTGACAATTTTTTCAAAATTTTGTCAAAACAAACAAACTTGATAAATTTTAAGTCTTAACTTTTAGAATCATTTAAAATTTTAAAAAATTCAATAAAACTTTAAAAATCATTAAATTTTTAAATTTTTGAAAATTAAAAACCTTGAAATTCAAAATTTTTTGGGTTTTGACATTTTTTTGGCAGGACAATTTTAGTTATTTTTTTAATTTTTTTCTACTTACGTCTGCAACAAAAAAAAAGTTTTCTAATACATTTTCTTTTGTCTCAATTTACAAATACGTAACTCAAAAAAAAAAACAAATCACAAAGTCCTAAAATTATTTTTTTTCAGCCGCATTGATTAGGTCATCATAATCATCAAAATATTTTAGAAATTTGACAATTTTTTCGAAACTTTGAAACCTTGTCAAAACAAACAGTCTTTACTTCTATAACTTTTAGAATCACTTAAAATTTTATAAAATTCAACCAAACTTTAGAAATCCTTAGAATTTTTAATTTTAAAGAATTAAAAACTTTGAAATTCTAGGTTTTTTAAGTTGTCACATTTTTTTTTTGCTTTTTCTTTTTTACTAGTACAGTTTTAGTTATTTTTTATTATGTTTCTCTACTTACGTCTGCAATAAAACGAGTTACATACTAAAATTTTTCTAATACATACATTTCCTTAATTTACGAACAATTAACTCAAAAAAACCAATCACAATGTCCCAAAATTAGTTTTTTTACATCCGCATTGATTGGATCATCATAATCATCATCAAGATATATAAAAAATGTGACAATTTTTTCAAAATTTTGAAACTTTGTCAAAACAAACAAATTTGACAAATTTTAGGTCTTTACCTCTAAACTTTTAGAATCATTTAAGATTTTACGAAATTCAAGGAAATCCTTAGATTTTTAAATTTTGGAGTGAACTCTTGAAATTCTAGATTTCTTGAGTTTTGACAATTTTTTTTTAGTTTTTGTTTTTTACCAGTACAATTTTAGTTATTTTTCTAATTTTTTTCAACTTACGTCTGCAATAAATCTCTCCACAGGCCTCATACATCGTCTTCACACACAACGACTTGCAACAACAGTAGCAAGAAAAACACCCCAGATGGTACGACCCATGCGATGTCAAAACCTTCTCAGCTGCAAAAACCTTCTCTCCGCACCTTTTGCATCTATCATCACACGAACAACATCTGTTGCAAGTGTTGCAAGGACGTGGTTTGCAACTTCGACGACCGCAAGAAGGACTCGGACATCGCGGTCGAAAATAGATCATTTTATTCTTGCCATCGCAACAGTTGGAGGGGGGACATGGAGATGGACAACGTGGAGGAGGACATGGAGATGGACAACGTGGAGGACATGGGGATGGGCAACGTGGAGGAGGCCGGCAAGGAGGGTTTTTCCGAGGACAGCGTCTTGGAGGCGGACAGCATTTATTGCAGGAACATTTGGGAGGACGTGGAGGATAGTTGAGGGGTTTGGGGGAGCGAGGACGGCAATGGATGCGTTTGAAACAGCGGTCCTCGCAGCAGGTTTGGCAGGGACAGGGACTGCAGCAGGACGGGATGCAACTGCAGGAGTGGATGTCGCGGGGGCGGCAGCAGTCCTTCAATTAAAATATTATTTTTACAAAACTACAATTTTCTTTTTAATTCTCAATTTTTGTCATAAATTCTGAAGGATTTCTACAGAAATTGTGTGTATTTATGTAAGTAATATTTTTACATACGAGTATTTTTAGCTTTTTGCATCATTTTATACATTTTTACACAGTTTCAAGTAATTTTTTAAATTTGACCCAATAACGTTTTATGCACTTTTTTGAGTCTTTAGCACCTCTAGAAATGCAAAAAACGTTAAGTGGATCAATTTTAAAGTTGAAAACTTTTTGGATTTTTGTCGATATTTTGGTCGATTTTTAGTACCCGAAGCGGTCTAATGCCAATAACTCCGGACTTATTGGAAATAACTTCTTATATTTGGTACCGTTGGAAAGGAAATTTTAAAAATTTAATTTTCTATCATATACAACAAACATCAGTGCTCTACGATTAATAGTTATCGAGAAAATTTCTGATAAAGTCAAAAATATCGAGAATTTAAATCCGACTATAACTTCAAAACTACTACGAATTTTGCAGTTTTCTTGACGCCAATCGATTCCCCGGAACATTTTACATATGTCTAGGTCAAAATATTATATCATTAAGATACAGTTTTTTCGCAATTTAGAAAATAAAAAAGAGTAAAAATTTGTTAACACTCCCTCCTCAATAACAGGTTAGTTTCGCCGTAATCGGCGTTTAAAAATTCAAATTTTTTTTGCGAGATATTGACTTGGCTTTGGCGTCAATCGATAGATTTTTTTTCTTACGACCATATACGAAATTAGATCATAACGCACAATTACATATGCGCGAAAATTGGCAATATCGTACAAGATCAAAAACCTGTGCGATTTGTTTTCGCACTATGTATTATAAAAAATAGATCGTTATTCAACGTATTTTTGTATCCATTATAAAAAATAAATCGTTATGAAAAAAAAAATATGTTCGTAAGAAAATAGCTATTTATGTATCAAGTACGCAAAATAGGGTTTTAGGGGACGAATCGTAATTAATTAATTAATTAATTTTTTTGTTAAAGCTCCCAAAACTCGAATTCACACCTTTTACTAATTAAAAAAAAATTCGTTTTATTTTTTAGTCCGCAAAAACTGTTTTTGGGGACTGAATACCTAAAATAACCGTTTTGCGTACTATTTTATTGAGTCTGGAAAAGACTCATTTTAGTGTACAAAACTTGCAGGAAAGTGTCTAACGCACTCGCGGTATTGTCTGCACTCGGCTAACGCCTCGTGTGCAACTTTCCCGCTTGTGCGTTATTTATCACTTTCCGTGCTCGTTATGTAATATACTATTTACGCTGATTACGACGGTGTTGAGCTTTTTGCTCTAAGTTTAATAGTTTGGCCGTAATCGTCGTTCAAAAAATAGAAATTGTCAAAATTGTGAAATTTTAAATGCGTTTTTCTACGAAACTATAAAACTTAGAGTAAAATGCCAAGAAACATCAGAATCTATATTAAATTATCTATCTAATGGACCAAACCCGGAGTCGCTCCTGGTTATAGTTCCGGGTACAGAGCCATTTTTAGTTTTTTTCATAAAAAATTAATATCTCAAAAACTATGAGTCCTAGAGCAAAACGGTTTGCACAGGCGTGTTAATTTTACATAGAGCACCAGTATTTCATAAGAATAAAAAAAATTGAATTTTTGGTCAAAATCGGATGCTTCTAGCCTTATTCTTAACTTTATTACTCAATATCTCAAAAACTATGCATCGTAGAGTCTTTTAACTTGTTGCATCGTGTTGAGCACGTAATTTTACGTCTAGAAAACCATATTACAAGTGTTTTTATAACTTCAACTTTAACTTATAACCTTCAAAAACTCGAATAATTCATAATTTTTTAAACTTGACTAATAACATTTTATACACTTTTTTGAGTCTTTAGCACCTCTAGAAATGTAAAAAAAACGTTAAATGAATCAATTTTAAACTTGGAATTTTTTTGGATTTTTATCGAGATTTTGGTAGATTTTTAGCACCCGGAGCGGTTTATTTATAACTCCGGAATTATTGGTAATAACCTCTTATGTTTAGTACCGTTAGAAAGAAAATTTAATTTTCTATTATACAATATGATGAAAAAAAGGCGCTCGTGTTAACCCACACGTTATAAGTGATCTTTTATTAAAGACGAATTCGAAGACCAAAATTGGATTTGTGCTCTTATCAGTAAAATATAGACTTTCCATTTTAGAAAAGAGAAATCTATATAATTAACAGTTTTAATATAATTTCATTGTTAAAGTCTACATTTTGATACAGTTGACGGTGTTCTTAAAAAAATGTGTAAAAAGTCTATTGAAATAAACTTTATTGAAGATGTTAGGATACCATTTCTTGGCTCCAAAGAAAATTTATCAATGTTGCAACATTGTAAATATCCTAGAATACAGAAAATGTACAAGTAATATTCAATTATAGGAAACAGTAGCAACAAAAAAATCAATTTCCAATGTTGTTTGTTCTGTGAAATTTGAACGATTAAAGTCAAAAAGTCAAAGATTAAAAAAATTAATTGAAATCATTAGATACCTTTTGGTCGTATCGTATTGGAATAATAAAATTATGTAAGCTTTACAGTTTTTTATTTTATGCGGGTGACAATATCTGTCAGTACTGGTTTTCTAGATACGAAAAATACCTGAGTGAAATAGTTTTTTAGTAAAAGAAAATTGTGCAATATTGCCGCTTTGTGCTGTTAGACAAACTGTTTAAATTTAAAAAAGAATCTATTTAGACTATTTTTGGAATGATGGTCACAATGTTTCAATAAAAAAGGACGCGCCTTTTTCAATTGTGGACGCCTTTTTTCATCAGCCTGTATACAAAAAAGATCAGTGTTCTATGACAAAATTTTAACCGCGAAAATAAAAAAAATTACATCAGACTCGCTCGACTTGCAACACACCGGCCTCATCCTCTCACAATAGTTAAAACTGGGGGTGGAGTTGACTCTGCACACCTCCTTCGTGGGGCAACAGCAGGCGCAGAAAACCTCTCCGTAGTAGATTTTGGCCGAGCAAAGATTCAACGGTCGATTACAGTTATCTGTAGACTGCGATTGGTGAAAAACTTTGATGCTGGTGTGAGTCGGACTTACAGCAACAGAAACAGCTCTTGTGCCAGACCTTGTTGAGGGCGATTTTACCAGCGGTCGAACAGATGCCTTGGCCGCACCGAGCGCAGCAAGACATGTTAACACATACCCTTGCGGGGAAACACAGGAATTTGTTCACAAGGAGGGAGAAATGACGGGAAATTTTGACACTTGAACGGGAAACGCCACACGTAGCTGATTTATCTCACTTTATTTATTGTCAAAAATTGCCTAGGCTAATGATTAGCGTCGCAGGTGTTGTTGCCAACATAACAAAAAAGTATCACATTTCATGAGAAACTTTGGTCTATTATTTAATTTACGACTAACAACGGTACAAAATCAACAAATTTCCCCTTAGAAAATGACACTTTCTTATAAAATAATTGAGCAATAGTACAATACTGCGTGTCTCAACCTAAAACTAGGGTTTCTTCATAAATAACTCCTTTTCGAACACTAGGACCTTGTTATCTAGTAGCCGTTGCTTCCGTTTGTGCTTGATGTAGAAACAAAAGAGGATCACGCTTCCGGTCAGGAGAAACGCCGTGAAAAACCTTTGAAAAATCGGAAGAACATTCACTTGGAAGTACACCAAGCTGATGATATACCAAGGTAGGCCCATCTGATTCTGCAACAAACAACAAGTGACGTCACCGAAACGTCACACGTCACGTGACTCACATATTCCAACCAGAACATAGGAATGACAGTGTCGCTGAAAGGCGTGACTAATTCATTAAAACCTGTCAATTTACGAACGACTAGGTTGCTTTGGGACCGAGCGGCTGATTCGAGTGGCACCCCTGTGGTCTAAAAATCCCTAAATAAAACACATTTGACAAGAGGTAGGGGAAATACCGGTTCGACGATGAGGTAAGAGTCGTGTTTCGTCCGGTTCGGCTTCAATCCATTAACGTACGATTTTATAATCGAGTCACCGTAGAGAAAATGAGGAAAACTAGTCGCTAGGGGAAACCCAAAATGACATTTGGAAATGTCGGAAAGACCGTTGGGTAAATCGGGCCGGCCGCGGAAACAATCGGCGTCGCTCGGCTCAGTTCGGTTAAAAATCGAGTCGATTAGGTCAAACCGAAAGGCGTTGACGCCATATTTGGACACGTCTTCTACAAAACACCAATTGTTTTTGTTCCTAATTATTTATTTAACAATAATTACTTCGATGGTGGAGAACCGCCATCTTGCAAAATGTCTTCCGCCAGTACTTCAGTGTAGTATTCTTCGTGATGTATTGAGGGTAAGCCACGCCCTCTGACGAATTGACAACTCCGCCCCCACAACTAGCCCCGTAATTTGGGAGGTCCCTAGAGCCGTCGTATTTATCAATGAGGAAGAACTTCTCGTCCCCATATTTCGTCCCAATGTACACTGTTACAGTGTTGGTGAAATTTGTGTAAATCTAAAAAATCGGGGATTTACCAGGTAAGAATTACAGGTTCCTGTAACGGCAGTACTCACCACGGAGTCACAACCAATGACAGCATTTCAGAAATTGAAATTGTGTTAAAAACATTGATTCGTTTAAACAATAAATTAACGACATCCCGGTTTACCGATTACAGATTTCTGTATTTTCAAGGATTTAAGAAAATTTTTAATTGTAAGTACAGGTTTCTGTATTTAATTTCACGTTTTGTAATAAATATTGTCCAAATGGGTTACTGTATTGGTGAAAAGTTAATAGAGCGCCAAATAGCAATTTCAGTTACAGGTTTCTGTAATATCAACTTACCCCCAAAAACCGCATTTCGAGTTGGGGATTTTTTTCAACTTACCCGCGATAAAATCCCTAGATTTTTAATCGGAACTAAAAATGGCGCAATTTTGTACGCCGCATCCAACATGGGATCTGTGTAGTTCCACAGGAACTGATCAACGGTTAATGTAACAAACTGTTGCGGTTTAACCGATCTCGTCAACAGGTTAAACCCTAACTTAACGAAGAAGCTCTGTTCGGACAAGTACGACGCAATGCCCTAAAAAAATCGGTTATAACCGTTTCAGTTTGGGTCCATTTTCGTACCAGCAGAGCCCAATTGGGTACAACGATGGTCGCATTCAGATCAATAGTATTCAGTTCTGGCAAAAAAATCGCCTTTCGCGTTGCCACATAGGTCATGGTGCCATTTTCGTTGAAGGTCACATTGGTATGTGTCAATTTTTCCCTAAAACCATTGATACAGAGTGTTTCAAAATGCATGTCTTGACTTACATGAAGACAATCGGTCCGATTTCGGCCATGTTGATTTTAACACTTGAATTACGTAGGAACTCTTCGGAATTAGTGACGTTGTAGAGGTACGCCCTGATGATGACCTCATCTGGGGGATTTTTCCACCACTCGTATGGGGGAAACCCCGGCGTCATGCGGAGTCGCTCGGTCATGAGTAGCTCGAATGGCGTCCAAATCAGGGTCGCCAACCCCCAGACGAGGAGAACCCCAGCGCCGATGGCGTAACACCACGCTGGAACAGTGTTGCCATAATTAGAACGACGAACTTTCACGTAGATCAAGTTCATGGCCAACTTTTGCATAACACTTGCAGCGGCCTTGAGCGCTTTCACTGCGTGTCATTTTCAGGTTGGCGGCCTTGGGGGCGCAACTTCCCCGGGATGAGTGCATTTTTCGTTTTTTAATGTGAGTATTTACGGACAATACACTCGTGTGGCGTAATCGAATGCAAATTACTTCTTACAAGTACGAAACCATGTCAATAACGACGCATTTCCTAATGTTTTATTATAAATTAATTATTGTTCAAGCTAATTATTTAATAGAACTGAAATTTAATTAATTCACGTGTGCTCCATATTACAAAATGGGGGATCACAGCCGACTTGAAGTGAATGGAAAATGCATCGTAAGTTCACGGTTGGCAACATTACGCCATTTCGGGAATTTTGCCACTGTAACTGGGGCTTTTAATAAGGTCACACCAAAGCCGGAATCAAACCATCGAAATCTTGTTTGTTTATTGGGGAAAAGTGAATGAAATTTGTTTATTTTATTAGACTGAAACGTATACATGACATTTACGACTTTTCGATTTTGTAATTACTACAAGTAATTGTGTATACTTTATATTTGTCAACCTTGAATGAGTTTGAATATAGGTATACACGTATCACGATTGCATTATAATTTATGTCACTTTATGAACGATAAAATCAAGTTGGTTGATGTCAGTTTTTTCAAATTTGATGCTTACGGCCACCATTTTCGGAATTGTTTTATTCCATTAAGATGTCTTTTATGACTTTTTGTCGTAAAATTACTCAATTGTTTCTTATTTATTACATAGTTAAAGTGTAAAACGATAATTACAAAAGTGGGAAACTCAAAAAACCACTTAAAACGCTCGATTAGTTGCATTGGTTTTGCAATTCGAAATTCCCGCCGGGGCCCAAACGGCCCTCGGCCCAAAAAATTTACGCATCTTCGCATTAATACCCTAAATAATTTTAAATTAAAAAAAATTGAATATTTAAGTGTCTACAATGTGACTTTATGCACATTTAGCTTTAATCCGCTCGCAGATATAGCAAATTTATTGCTTTTAAGTCCAAATTGTAGAAGTTTTGTATCATTTTTAGAATTTGAGGTGTACTCAACTCAATGTCTACATATTCCAATAAGGACAAATGAACACAAACTCAAAATATGTTCTTTAATATTTATTTTTATTACATATGTTACAAAAAGTTGCTCAACATTTTTTAATTAAAATTAATGGAAAAGTAGATAGTAGTAGAAAGTAAAGTTCCTGTTTTATACATTGTGTGCATTTAGTCTTAATCTTGAACACCCAAATTAATTTAATTTAGTCGCAAAAAGAGCAAATTTGTTAGTTTTGAGTCCACATTCAAAGAATTTTAGTTTAATTTATGTGTTAAAAAAACCTTCTGTGTCGTCATATTCTATTAACGATGTGATCACAAACTCAAAATAAAAAATGTATACACCTAATTCTAATTCCAAATAAATTCCAGTAATTCCAAAAAAAAATCTTCCGAAATTCCAGTAATTCCAATAATCGATCAAAATTCCATTGTTAAATTGTTAATTCCTGTAATTCCAACTTAATTTTCGTAATTCCAAAAGAATTCTTGTAATTCAAAATTAATTCTGATAGTTCTAAGAAATTTAAGGTAATTGTCATAAGAAATTTCAATTTCAAATTAATTTCTATATTATTTCAACTTATTTCCAACTTAATTTCCATAATTCCAAAATAACGTAATTTTCAAAAAAAATTATCTTGAATAATTCCAAAAAGAATTCTAACAATAATTTCAAAAAAATTCCAGTAGCTTACAAATAATTTCAGTAATTCCAAAAAATCACAACATAATTGTAATATCGTAATTCCAAGCAATTTCGATTAAATTCCTAAAAATTCTACAACTAATTCCTGTCAACGGCCACTTGGATTTTTTAGTGTTAAAATAAAAAAAAATCAAAAGATTCAAAGATTTTGGCAGTTAAGAAATTTAAGGTAATTGTCAAAAGAATTCCAATAGTCACAGATAATTCCAGTAATTTCGATAATCCATCGTAATTCCACTATTTTTAGATTAATTCCTAGAATTCCAAATTAATTTTTGTAATTCCAAAATATTTTTTTTGTAATTCCAAAATATTTACTCTAATTCTAATAATAACTTTCGATAGTTCTATCAAATTAAACGTAATTTTCAAATCTCAAATTATTCCAAAAAGAATTCTATCAGTAATTCCAGAAAAATTCCAATAGTTCATAAATAATTGCAGTAACTTCAAAAAATTCCAACATAATCTTAATAATTCCAAGTAATTCGAAGCAATTTCATTAAATTCGTAAAAATTGTACAACTAATTCCAGAGTCAACGGCCACTCGGATTTTTTAGTGTTAAAATTAAAAAAAAAATAAAAAATACAAAGATTTTTTAAGTTTAAGAAATTTAAGGTAATTGTCAAAAAAATTCCAATAGTTACAGATAATTCCAGTAATTTCGATAATCCATCGTAATTCCACTCTTTTTAGATTAATTCCTATAATTCCAAATCAATTTTTGTAATACCAAATTATTTTTTTTTTGTAATTCCAAAATATTTACTCTAATTCCAAATTACTTT